TTTTGATTTTTTTTGCTTTTAGCCAGTCAGATAGAGGATGAAATTCGGCACAAGAATATGCTTCACTCGATCCTTTTTGTCGCAAGGTCTAGGAGGAAAAATATCAAAAACCTTTAGCCAAAACAAGATGACTCATCTTTTCTTAGCGTATTTTCGCTCTTTTTAGTATATCACTTATAACTCCGTCTAGGAATGAGATAGGAAGTCGGGAAATGTTTCATTTTGATCAGAATTCAATGGAAAATACGACCTTGTTATTCAGATGTTGAAAAGGCGAAGTACTGATTTTGAACGTCGCGTTTTATCATAGTAAAGAAGAGCGTGTTTATTTTTTTTCCCTTCCTTTCGTGTCTACTACAATCACTCTGTATCAATTTTTTTCCTCCTAGACCTTGCGACAAAAAGGATCGAGTGAAGCATATTCTTGTGCCGAATTTTATCCTCTATCTGACTGGCTAAAAGCAAAAAAATCAAAAAGCTAGTTTTGATGAAAAATTATTTGAAAAACCCAAACTGAGCAGATTCTCCAGAACTTTCTTTCAAAAACTTTAGCGTCTAGTTTCACGTTTCTCAAAATTCTAAATCGGCTGTTTTGTGCAGTTTTTCACGCTGAATTTTTTGCTGAAAACCGCATTTCGATAGAGTTTAAATTGACGGAGAAAATCGTCGTTTTTCGGTTTTCCACGGTCAAGTCCTTTAAACCCGGTATTTGAATATCAAGGCCCAAGATAAAGTCCAATATTTTTTTACCAAAAAATAGCACTTTAAATTCTCTATCGAACTATATGTATTCAAAAATTTTTGACGAAAATCTCTTGGTTAGGAAACGCGAAATACGAGAAACCAGAAAACCTATATTTTTGCTAAATTTTTAAAATCCTAAAAGCACCGGAATGATTTTCTGAATCGTACATCTTGTAGAGCATTGCTCAAAGTATATCACCATTTGAACCAAGATTCTATAACAATGCGTTTGAAAAATAAACGAAAAACAAAAGGCTCTAAACTTTTTTGGAGCACTGTAAGTCGTCTGTGAACGTACTAATCAGACTTTTCCATTTAGTAGATAATAAACATTTGATTCACGGAACTCTAATGAAGTCAACATAGTTTGATTGTGTCTATTTAGTATTACCTTAGTTATCATTAAGAATACTTCTTTAGAGGTTAGCACATCTTTTCTTTCAGACTTCTTACAATATGAAGCCAAATCATCTTTCTAACGAAAATATTCAGGTTGTTGATCGAGTTGTTGCAAGTAAAGATACTGGTTTCTATATCTCAAATCGTGCACCACTTCAATCGACTCTATTTCAAAACTTACCACCATCTAATATTATTCCAGGTGGTTGGTTACGTGCTCAACTTAATCTCCAAGTCAATGGTCTTAATGGACAAATGTCAGAAATATCTGATTATCTTGCCTATAATAATTGTGGATGGATTGATCCAACAAAAGGTGGTTGGGAAGAATTACCCTACTGGCTTCGCGGTTTTTCATGTCTTGGTTTTATCACAGCAGATCAACGTGTACAACAATTAACTCAAAAATGGATGGATGGAATTTTGATGAGTCAACAAGGAGATGGATGGTTTGGACCAAATAACATGAGAACATCACTCGAAGGAGGACCTGATTTTTGGCCAGCTATGCCGTTGATTCATGCTATACGTTCGTTTTATGAGTATACGAATGATTCACGAGTTCTCCCTTTTTTAACAAAATATTATCAATATCAAAATTCACAACCGGTGGCTGTTTTTAGTCGAGGGTGGGGCAACACGCGTTGGGCTGATACAATTGAAAGTATATATTGGCTATACAATCGGACTGGTGATGAATGGTTACTTGATTTAGTTAGAAAAATACATGCAAATTCAGCTGATTATGTTAATGGTATTCCGACTTGGCATAATGTCAATTTATCACAAGGCTTTCGTGAACCAGCCGAATATTGGTTGCTCGATTCAGATCAGAAATATTTACAGGCAACATACAACGATTATGAAAAAGTGATGACCATGTATGGACAATTTCCGGGTGGCGGATTTGCTGGCGATGAAAATTGTCGGTCAGGTTATGGTGACCCACGACAAGGTTTTGAAACATGTGGTATCGTAGAATTTATGCATAGTTTTGAAATATTAATGCGTCTAACGGGTGATCGACAATGGGCTGACCGTTGTGAGGAATTGGCATTTAATCTGTTACCAGCTGCTTTTGATCCCGAACAGAAAGGTACTCATTATGTAACATGTGCAAATTGTATTCAATTGGATAATCAAGCAAAGACACAACAGCAATTTGATAATAATTTTCCAATGTTAGCTTATATGCCGGGTGTACATAATTATCGATGTTGTCCACATAATTATGGAATGGCTTGGCCTTATTATGCACAAGAACTATGGCTTGCGACATCGGACAAAGGTCTATGTGCTTCGTTATATTGTGCATCAGAAGTAAAAGCTATTGTGGGTAGTGAAGCAGTTGAAGTTCGAATTGTAGAAGAAACAGACTATCCATTTGATGATGTTATTCATTTTACAATATTTACTTCTAAACCCGTACTATTTCCATTATATCTAAGAATTCCAAGTTGGTGTCAAAAACCATTATTGCAATTAAATCAAAAATTAATTTCAATACAAACTGATCCATCCTCATCATATCTAATTATTGATCGCATATGGCAAGATGGTGACGTGATTGATATTCAATTAACTATGGCACCAAGTGTACGAACATGGACAACTAATCGAAATGCTGTTTCCGTTTTATATGGACCGTTGATATTCTCACTGAGTATTGTAGAAAAATGGAATCAAATTGGTGGTACAGATATATGGCCAGAATACGAAGTGATCCCACAATCTGATTGGAATTATGGTCTTGTATTAACCGATAATGAATATTCATTTCGAATTAAAAAAACAAAAAAGACAAGCGATAATCCGTTTGAATATTCAACTACGCCAATTCGAATCGAAGCGAAAGCACGAAAAATTGTAGAATGGAAGGCCGATTCACAAAATGTCGTTGGATTACTGCCTTTGAGTCCTGTTAAATCTGATCAACCAGACGAACTAGTCATATTAATTCCTATGGGTGTAGCTAGACTTCGAATTACATCATTTCCACAAATTGGATAATTAACAAAAACTTTTATATTTATCATGTTATTACGCCATGTTTGATTCTTTTCGTTTAATTTAAGCTGGTTCTTAGTTTCTTTTAACTATTGGATGAAATTTAATTTCGCCTTATATTAATTAGAGTTCATTAACAATTTCTAGATCAAATTTTCAACAATCAAATTTTTTTTGTGATATTAAATATTATTGATGATTGCATCAATGTATGTCAAAAAGTGATTCTCTTTTATCTATTTTTTTTGTTGCTAAAGATTTTGCATTTATATTTTTTATCAGAAAGATGGTATTTGCAATAGTGTATGTATGCATTTACATTGTTTTTGATCATCTTGGGAGCTTATAAGAAGCTAGACATTTTCCTAGCTGTCAGATGGAAATGGTCGAATATATGTTATCAATTAATTAAGGAATCAGATCAGAAACTCTAGTTGTTTACCTTTTCTTTTTAGATAATTTAATAATAGAATAATGTCTCATATTTGTCATACAATGTTAGTTTTACGTGCTAGTTTCTTGTCATCATCATTTCATGGACTAATTTTATCTCGTTTAAACATTGGTATAACATCCTCCTCAACATCATCTTCATCGAGTAGTAGAAGTGGCATCAGTTCATCAAAACAAACAGGTGGAGACGTTCAATCATCGGTGTTACCTGGTAGTTCAACATAGAGTGAAAAATCAAATCCAACAAAAATAAGTAGTGAATCTCATGATACTGAAGACAATAGATTGAGTTTATCTTCGTATGTTTGCTTTTTTAGTTCAACAGAAAGCCAATCAATATTAAATTCAACATTTGGTCGATTGCTGATTGGCGCTACTCTCTTTGCCGGTATATATGGTGCATGGAAATTGTTACATAATAATCAAGATGCTAAAAAAAATCTTGAACATGCTAAAAAAGAATTTACAAAATATACACCCGACAGTAAATTACATTATGATATGGTAGCTCAGCACATACCAAAAGAACATCAGAAATGAAGAAGACCACATTCTAAATTCATTTTATCATTTTTTTATGTGTTCTCTATCTCACTAACGATCTGTTACTTTTTTTCTTGACTAACAAACTGAAATTTATACATTATTGCACACTGGAAAACACGGCGAACAACTTTTTGAGGCTTTTATCTCACCTAGAAACTAAAAAAATTTTCTTCACTTTTAAAACAGAAGTGTGGTTTTCTGAATACCACAGAGTTTCCAAGGAATTTTCACTATATTGAGAGTTTGAAAGAAATAAAAAATCAAAAAATCATACTCTAAAAATTAATTTTTTTATAAAAATCTCATTCAAAAATTTATATGGAAATAATAAAACTCTTTAAAATAAACGGTAGGATTTCGGCTAGTGGTGTTAATTCCAGGTAACTCTTTGAATTGTCCTATTGGGATTTCCGTACAGTTTGAAGAAATTCATATTCACACAGAATTATAAGTGTGAGAATGTCATATACCTTTTTTAGAACTGATAATTTTACCTTTATATCAAAGTAACTATTTTCTTTTAGAATAGCGTATTCATTACAAAACAATGGCTCATATTTGTCGAACCATGTCAGCATTCGCTCGATCTGACTCTGTGCGTTATGGTTGTTTAATTGTATCTCGTTTAAATGCTAGTTCATCATCAACATCAATCAAAACACCATCAATTGAAGCAACCAAAACTCAAACGGTTTCAAATACAACAGCAAGCGGAAAGCCTTCGTCTTCGTCCACTTCTGACGCATTATCAAACAAACAACAATATGCTGGAAAACCACAACAATCAACGGGAACGGTAGGTGGGGTTGAAAAAAATAAGAGCGGTAGTTCAGCGTCAGGTGAGCGCATAATCACTGTATTTTCTATCTGTTTTTTTGAGAGTGGCATCATCTTTCAGAATTACCACCAAGTTCAACAGCAAGAGAACAGTCAAATCCAACAAAAACAAGCAATGAATCACAAAATACAGAAGGAAATCGTCCAGTATCATTCCCATCATCAAGTAAAACGGACAATCCAAAACAATCACCACAGTAAGCGTCACGATGTGTTGAAAGGTGTAATATAAAACATGCCTGTTTTAGTGTACTTAAATTTTATAACCACTTTTTAGTCATTAGATACTCAAACAAAACTCACTTCTGCAAGAATCAAAAGAAAATATCTCGACCGGTTTCGACCTTTCTCAAAGATATGGCCAGGTAGTTTCCTTCGAGAAGACAGAGTTAAGGCACAACTTCGTCCCCACCATGGGAGAGTGATCCCATGCTTTGCCGAATGAGAACTATCACACGATGAGAACGGAGCACGATATCGATGGCCACTGCACATATTCTGCTCCTGTCCAATAAAGTATTTCTTTTCATTTGTCAGAAATAATTCATCCTTTAACAATTCTGTTTGAGTATCTAGTGAGTAAAAAGCGGTTGTAAAACTAAAGTACATTGAAATTGTATCAAGTCGAGTTTCAAATTCATATAAAACATGTCTGTCGGTATAAATTTAGACCACATGAAAGGGAAGCAATACTCAATTCAATGGGTGGACGTCTAGCAATATTAGTTGTGCTTGGAGCATCAATATGTAAGTTTTCGCCTAGAAAAAAGTATTATTTGCTCTAACTGACTTACATTGCATGAGTCGCGGCAGTCCTGATTATCCTGAAAAAAAGATCCTGATTCGGCCGGGTTAGCTAATGAACATTCAGTAGTTATTAAGAAAGTCATGCTGTTTTTAATGTTGTAAAACCAAAAGTATCATATTAGATAGCTGCAGTTTAGAATATGACGAGTATTGGACTTGTTCGAGCGTACCAGCCAAAAAGTGTAAGTTCGTAACGTTTTATGGGAGTCATAACTCGTCATCCGAGCAACGGACAGAGTTGGGAAACGTCTTATTTTGTTTAGCTTAAAGATTTTTCCTTCAAATGGTATTTAAGCAAAGTCTTGCAGCTCACTAGTTTAAGTGACATAATGCTTTGGTATACGCCACTTTCGTGCAAAAGAGCCTTATTGACACGAATTACAGGCAGGTGTTTAGATTAGAGCTAGACTTTGCTTAATTACCATTTGAAGGTAAAATCTTTGAGCTAAACAAAATAAGACATTTCCCAACTCTGTCCGTTGCTCGGGTGAGACTTTCACAAAACATTACAGACTTACGTAAAAGTGAACTTTTACGTGGACAAGTTCTATTGTATAGTTAATAACAACAACAAATGCAATAAAAAAGTATTTCATTAGAAGTTACTAGATAATTTTTTGAATTTTTTTCACGCCTCACCATCACATTTGTGTGTGTGTCAAATTAGGAAGACAAAATGTTGTTATGCGTGCGCAACATGATTTATCCTGATTTTTTGGATAAATCCTCGTTTTTTATTCTGAGGCTACCGAGATCCCCGACATTGTCTATAGTTGAGGAAAATAACTTGTTTCAAGTCTAATCTCATAATGTTTTTAAAAAACTCGGTTTTTAGATGGTGGCTTTAAAGTGTTACGCAACAATCCAGATGTAAAAAAAGACCGTGAACATGTTCAAAATGAATTTATAAAAGATACATCGGATAATCTACATAAAAATATGGTTGCAGAACATCGACCAAAAGAATATGATCCAAATGTGAAAAAATGACCTATTAACAGTGAATAAATAATCCAATTTGTTCTCTTTTGATTTTTTTTGTTCATAAATATAATAAAGACTGTGTACGTAATTCCTAACAGATCTGCTTACGTTGAAATATAAAAAATGTTACGTGTATAGATAGTTTTGTCATAACAAAAATACGTTTTGTTTATTCATTTGTAAATTAGACTTAAAATAATTTTTACTACGCACTCATTTTCTTTTAGTTATAGATTTGTATTCGATTTTTGTACTAATAAATAAACAGAAAGCGATCGTTTCTTTCCAGTGAGTGTTTCAGAAAAGCAACTAAAGCAATCAGTAAAACTGTACCGGTCATCAAAAACAATATACTCAAAGACTTGCTCTGTCTATGGTTATTTAAACAGAGAAATGTTCCACAATATCATGCTTTGACACAAAACGGATGTTATGAATGTACTTAAAGAAAAGTTAGTTGATAAATGATTCCTTTAGTGTTGTATTGCACTAAAAGGCTATTGTATTGAAATTCATCCAAAATCATCCGAGCAAGAAGTTTATTTCAGATAACTCTAAAATATGCGTTCTTCTAATTATTCTGTATTGCTGAAAAGAAAAAACCAGTAGAAGAAGGGATACTTTGAAGAATTATTTACATGTTACTATGAAAGATTTATGACATTTTTATCGATTTAGGTAGGCATCGATATATTCAAGCAAAAACTATGTCTCGGTCTCTTTCATAATTATTTCTTTTGTGAAACTTCGACATATACATCATATTAAAAGGAACGTAAGTTTAGATCAGAAATATGCAAAAAAAATCAGAATGTTTAACCCTGCATTTCTCAGACGTACGCTCCATTGAATTTCATAGTTCATATGCTAAAGTCAATTCATTATTTCATTGTATAGTATTCATTATCGTTAGACAGATGTTTTTATTTAATATTTTAAAGCTTTTTTATTGTATAATTCAAATTATTAGTACAAAAATAAATTATTACTCATTACACACTATTAAGGAAAAATAAATTATTTCTACACATACAAATTATTTAAAGAGAAAGAAAACATTTTCTCTAAAACATATTTGAAATATCTCCAAAATTAACTTTGTAAAAAAATTTCCTACAAATAAAACATATGCTCGGAATATATGTTACCTTTTACTCTATCTACTCACATGTTTGAACAGAAACTTTCAAACAACTTACTTCTTTGATCAATTTTATTCTATATATGATTATTCAGATTGTTTTTATTTTCGAGCAAATTTTGTGTGTTTTAAATGCGAAGTAGATCAATATTTGACGCATGTATTTACAGAAATAATTGTTAACTTTTTCCATTCGAAAAACTTCTTATATTTCTTGTTTATGAGATATTTTAGGATATCGGAGTTTCATTAAAAAAACTTTCATTAAAATTTTAATTAAATTCTTGTGCCATCAGAAGTTCTAGGTCACAGCTATTTTGCACAAGACATTTTAATGAAAGTCCCGGTACTTTCATTTAAAAAAGCGCTTTAATGAAAGTTTTTTTTAATGAAAATCATCCAACTCGATATTTTAACTAAAAAGTTAAAAAATTTCTTCATCCGATAAGGAATTAACAATGATAATCGTCTCTTTCGAAGCAGTAAGCACGCCATACGAAAGCAAGTTGATTAATTTTTTCAATCAATTTTACTAGAAACTAATTAATAAATAATAGCTGACATATTTCAATTTAACAAGAATAGAACTTGTGACTAGTTCTCAGGAACAGTTCCGTCCCTCGTCAGAGATATATTGATAGTATCAATTTGACACGAAAGAATTTTCCTTAAATGATAGTAAATGGAGCTACGTAAAACTGTGCGTTTCTATGAAACAACTCAATTTAGCAAGTGAAAGTTGAAAGTATAACATTTTATCAGTTTTCACCTATTAGCTATAAAATTCCATATCACTGTCTTCTTGTGGTTGTACATTTTTTTCATTTGATAGCCATCGTTTACCGGCTTCGGATGTTTCAAAACTTTTCTTCATTGGTTTGCTTTTTGACGATGACGATTCTGTTGAATTATAATCATCATCATCACCATCAGCTATTTTGTCAAGCCATGATTTTGATTTGATATTTTTATTTTTGACTTGTTGTCCGTATTGTTGTTGTTGTTGTTGTTGTGGTTGTGGTTGTGATTTCTTAAAATTATCATTTTCCTCATCGGATGACGACGATGATGTACGATCTCGAACAAATTTTTCCAGAATATGTATCAGAAGTGACTCGGCCTTCTCTAATGCTTCTGATGTTTTAGATATGAGAGTACGAGCAAATGTTTTTGCTATAGTCGGAATATTCATGACATGTCGACGTTGTAAGAATATAAAATGTTCAATCAATACGTTCCACAACGTGGCGCCACTTGGATCAATTTGATTTAATCGTTGGAAGACAATATCTTTATTTACATCTTTGATATTTAATGATAATATTTCATCTGAAAATGGGTGAATTTCGTAAATTGTAATTTGTTATAAGTAAGGCGAAAAAGTTAAAAGATTGCGTCACATAGTATAAATAGTTCAACAAATTTTTTTAATGTTGTTCTTTTTCTTGTTGTGTCTATCTGTTTAACCCTTTCTAGCCGGCTGTTTCTAAAACACAGTAAAAAGCGTTGCCAAATGGCAACATCAGGCTTGAAAGGGTTAAATTAAAATAAATAAGATGTATACGGATAAGCAGAACGAAAAATCAGAGCCAGTACTCCCTACATCTCCCAAGCAGTTTGCAGCATTCTGAAGGAGCCGTTGCGTCTCTACGAAAATCAAGTGCTGTATTTTTCTCTTCTGGCTGTGTGATCTTTTTGTAGAATCATCAAAAACGAGAAATGGCAGCAGAAATGAACGTGAAGTCGGAAGCTACAAGCACCGACAGTGCATTGGACTACAAACACTTATTACCGTCACATTAGCTATCGATAGCGCAACAAAACGTGCATGATCAACATTAGCGATTCAACAGCAACAAGAATCTAATAAACCAACTACTTTATCTATGTGTACCAGTCTAACGTCCTAGAGGCATGGCAAGAAAGATGTTTTTCTGAATGATTTAATAAAGAGCGTGGAACGATTCGTTGATGATTTCTTAAATGAAAAAAATGTACTACCGAGTAAAGCCTAAAACCAAGATTCAAGGTAAGTATAGCTTTTTTTATCGATTTTGCAATATGTTAGAAAGAGACTGATGTGAGGATTTTATCTTTGACCACAAAAGTTCTGAGGATCGAATAATATATTTCAGAAACATCGTGCGATTTATTCAACGTGCTTCTCTTTCTAAGGGTGTCTTTTCCTCTCTCGCACACTCAACGCTCGTTCGGTTGTTGTCTTTTTACTTACGACATGATAATTCTCGTATAGAAGTTCAGAAAATTGCAGATGTCTAATAAGAGATTTGATTTGGCACTTTTGTATGTTAAATATGAACGTTTTGTTTCGCTGTTCAGCACAACGTAACTGTGGATAAATACTGATATACAAAAATGATGGTGGAAGATTCATTATTATTATTTGAAGTTATAAACGAAATAATTTTAAACTGTTTTATTTTGTAATAAATGAGACCAAATTGACGAATATTTTTGCCTAAATAAAATACTGCTACTGATATAGGATAGTAAAGATAGTCGATGTTGAATAACGAACTCATCAGGAATTCAGAACATCAAAATTTCTTGTATTAAAACTGATTAAGAGTGGATTTTTTAGAAGAAGAGTACTATCCACTTCTATATTTTCTATAAGTTTTTTAAAACTTTGAAATTCATACACTAGAAATCCTTTGTTATGTATCGCACTTTTACTGAGTTATGGAGTAATATACTCTAGCTTTTGTTAGAAGTTTTCCTTAACGTACCTGTAAATAAACATTTCTGTATTGTATAACGTCTGATTGTGGATGTCATTTGGTCCAAAACAACCATTGACACTGCAGCCGGCCCATATTCTGCCAATATCGCACGATTTCGTTCATTAGCACCGTTTAAAATTTTTTTTCGCTGCATAATGGTTGGCGTATCATGTCGATAATATTTTTTTTGATCTAATGTATTTTGTAATTCATTCTGCATAAAATCTAATGAAAATTCTAAACCGGATCGATTTAATTCCATACGTAATGAACCTTTTCGATGATGATTTGAATTCGATAATGTATCAGCTGATTCTCGGGATTGTGTCACATGATCACTAAATGAATTGTCTTGATGTTGTTGATGTTGAGTATTTGACCGATATTGTTTCTCTGATAGTTTAGCTCCCTCCATATCTGGTGACAAATCGCCTAAATGATTAATTTGATCGTGGGTATCGTTGAATGATGGTGGCTTTGTAATAGTAGGTGACTGCTGATTTGTGGCTGCAACAACAGGGGGTGACCGAAGATCTAACAGAGTTGGTGGTGAGAGAGTAAGATCAAAACCAACTTTTAGTTGATCTTCATATCTTTTAAATAACATTGTTGAATCAACATCATACGATTGACTACGACTGGGAAATCGATTCGAACGATAATGAACATCATCTAATGTATCTAAACATAAGGCATATACATTAATATCAATATTCCAGTCAAACTCCAAGCTTCTCTATTCTCATTTCTAACCCGTCTAGAAATAAAACTACCTAAACTTAGTCAGTACGACGTACTTTCTTGTCTGATATTCCCTTCATTGTTTAATCTTTGTTGTTGATGTAGCTGATTGTTATTATTTTGATCTGTTGTTAGTTTATTCTGTTTAATTTCTTGTGCTAGTCTATCGTACGGATTATAAAATTGTTGCTTTTGTTGTGATGGTTCAGTTAATGTTGTAGATAGTTTCCAATTTGGATAATTTTGTTGTAAATAATATTGATAATCTTGTTTTAAATGAACTAATTTTTCGGCATTTAAGCGTAGTTGTTCTAAATGTTGTTCGGCACTATTCAAATCTTGTAATAGGGACATATTTCGTTTTTCAGCACGTTCTGATTCTGCGTACACTTTATTGAAATAAGATTGAATTTGTTGAATTTGAAAACGTTTTACACGTGAATCAACTGTAGACATTTGTCGAAGTTTTTGTTCAAGTAATATACGTTGTTCTTCATTTTTTAATATTTTAGCACGTAATGATGTTTTACGGTTATGGTAATCGACATTCATTGGGATTTGATCTTAATAAAACAAAGATCAAGTCAGTTTCTTATATAGTATTACTTAAAAAAACCAAATCAATTTTTGGTTACGGTTCAATAAACAAAAAATGGCATGTTATCTAAACTGAAGCGGTATCATCTCAAAACTTAGCTGTATTTTTCTCACAATACGAAAGTTATTCACAGTTCTCTTGTTCCATTTTCTCACACAAACATGCATGCATTAAACTTGAAAATGAAAAATATAAGAGAGAAACAACGACAACATTTTTCTGATTCCATTCTTGGAAACATGTGTACATTTTAGAGAATTTTTTCTTCTTTAGTTCTGTTATATGAGTAATAGTTCAAAAAATGCACACACCTATAATAGACATTCAAAGATAAGGTAACTGAAGCAAGAATGATAATCAAAGGAAAGAAAAAAAAGTCTATTATTTCATTTTCAATTCTTCTTTTCTTTTTAACTTTTATAAGAGAAAAAAGGATTGTCAAGAGCAACGAGAATTTTGCTTTTTTCTTCTTCTTTAACGATTACTGCTATGAAGAGAGATGATATCAGGTTAAGGCTATTTTACAGATGTTTCCCATAAACAGCATTAGCTACATCTTTTTTAAATCTTCAAACAAAACTCAGGTACGAAATTTCCTGCGCTTCTTCTCGTTGAAATGTACACAAGTACGACTTTTCATACTCGAATCCTACAGCGTTATTAATAAGAATTTTGAGTTAGCAATATGCTATCGTTTATGTCTGTTGCTCTGCTTATTTTTGTGCCTTCTCCATGATGTAAACAAGAGCAATAGAAATATTTTTATTAGTTTTTTATTTTTAACGTGAGATGCTAAAATTGTCTAATTTAGCATGTATTTCATTATAAAATCATGTTAACAGGAAAAAGTAAGCAATATCAATGACATTGAATTATTATTAGTCAAAAATTTGTCTCTCTTAAATAATAGTAAAACTAAATCGCATTCGAATCTCACTCATGTTTAAGAATTTTGTATAAGTTTTTATGTCTTAGTCGAAATATGAGCTAGAAAAGGAGTGACATAATTAGGATTAGATTTCAGAGATCTTTCAATTTACCCAGCTTCCTCCTAGCCGAACACTCAAAGTGTTGATTTATTGAACCTTCCTCTTACCTTTTTCTTTTTTACAAAAGTCGTCTATTTTATTATTGTCTAAACATTAAAAGTGACTTTGTAGCTCTTATGGCAAGGATTTACTGTTTTCTCTCTCTCTCTCTCTCTCTCTCTCTTTCGAGCTCTGAATATCGTAATCCTTATGCAATTTTATACAATTGTTCACAGAATTTTACAAAACAATTTGCCAAAAGAAGAAATAAAAATGTTTGTTATAATTTCTTATACAAATCACACAATAAAAAAATCTTGCTCATTTTTTTTTCACGCTACCTAAAGTCAAGTGGAAAGAGAGAGAAAAGGTCACGAAAAAAACAACTATTCTTTCATAAATGAACAGTTACGAAATATTAGAATTATATAAACCCACTAGTAAATAGTAGTTCGACTTAAAGTATAAACATATGAATCTGAAAAACGAAAGTGTAAAAAAAAACCTGTTGTTTGTTAGAAAGAGATGAATTTCTGTCATTCATTTTGGCCTTCTTCTGACAACACAGTGTACTTGAGAAAAAATTGCCGTATTATCTTGGAAAGTGTGAGATTTGACAACCTCTTTTGATTTGACAATGATTATTTGACAAGATCTGAATTAGTGAGGAAATATATAGGAGAATAGTATAGGTATATTTTATCACAGTAAACCATATAGTTACCATAAGTAAACAGAGTGTATAGCTACGGTTTCAACGATAATGAATTGCAGTATAATAGGCGCTCTAAATCAATTATATAAACTTTTTTAAAATTAGTTTTTTTACCGTCTCAATTAGTAAGGCTTCATCTAGACTTCGCTATGAGCACTGGTGATTTGAGAAAATTTATAGTAATTTTCTTGGGATAAATTTATTTTATTTCAATAGTTAAAATGTTAATCGATGAGACTACGTGTGAATCTGTTTGTATGAGCAAAATTTTAACTGAACTTCCATTTTGAGTATGAAATAGTTAGCCTTTGGGTTGAAAAGATCATCATATGCACGCATCGAAAGTCAAAAAGATTCATTGCGTACATAACTTGAGGAAAATGTCACACTGCACATAGATAGTTTTAAAATCAATTAAATATGAAAAGAATTTTTCATTTTAAGTTTATAAACATCAACAAATTGAAAAGAAAACAAATTATAACATCGACTGATTGGAGATGTATTGGAAAGAAAAAAGAAAAATTCTTCCTCTCTATGCCTGTCTTCTGTTTTATTATTATTATTTACATAGGATGTTTTTTACATAAACATACTCGATTTTTTTTTCGCAACTTTTTTTTGTATATTTCAGATCAAACATATTAGTTTTATGGTTTTAAAAAAGATTTCATTTCATTTCACATTGTCGTTGTCAAGATCTTTTAAATAAATTTTAAAAAAAATGGCTAAATTTTTACAACGTTTCTTTAGTGGGGGATCATCAAGTAATAAAAGTTCATTTCGTAGTTCACAAACATCATTGAATAGTAGTGACAAATCAAGACGAGGTGATGGAGGAATTGGTGGTAGTTTACAAAATTTATCATCAACATATCAAGTTAAAGCAAAAGATTTAGAAAAAAATAAATTACATAAAGCCTCGTGGGAAGGAGATTTACATAAGGTGCAACGGTTGATGAACCCGGGTGTAATCAATGTAAAAGATAAAGATAATCGAGTAAGAATTTATCTCTTATCTAACATGCTCATATCTATTATTTTATTTTTTCCTAGACTCCTCTTCATTTGGCTGTTGCTGCTGGTCATTTGAATATTGTCAAATTTTTGGTAGAAAGAAAGGCTAAATTAAACTTGGCTGATAGTGATCAGCGCACACCATTAGTAAAAGCGGTATTATGTGTTAATCAAAATCCAACACTAAATTGCGCAATTATTGCAGCAATAATAAGCGGTGGTGGGGATCAGTTTATAAATACCGTCGATATAAATGGAAAAAACGCATTGCATTATGCGGTTGAAACTAATCGTACAGATTTGGTAGAATTATTTAGACGTCAAGAAGGATGTGACATCAACTTTCAAGATCGAAATTCTCAAACACCATTACATTTGGGTAAGTATAAATTATTTTAAATTCAAAAATATCATAATATCAGATAAAAGAAGTAATAATAGATGATAGATAAAATTTAATCATTCATATTGTACTAATTCATGCATAGAAAACAAATTTTTTTCTCAATAGCGTGTAAATATTCTCTTGTCTCTCATTTAGCTATAAGAAATCAAAATTTACAAATAATTGATCAATTGTTAGAGGCAGATGCTAATCCAGATATACAAGATCAAAATGGACAAACACCATTAATGTTTGCAACATCATTAAATAATATTGAGATTGTTAAAAAATTATTAAATGCTGAAGCCAATACACAACTTCTAGATAATCAACAAATGAGTGCCATGGACATAGCCAAAAAACATCGTGATGATAATTGCGCTCAATTAATTATTGAGTATGATAAACATCAAAACAGTCATCCAACTAAAAAGTCAACATCTTTCAATGATCAACAACCAGTTGTTAATCGATACGGTCCAATGCTGAGTCCTGCGACTGATGATAGTAGTAGTAGTGATGATTCATCGTCAGAAGATGAAACAAAGATAAAAAGACAAAGACAATCTGTTGCCGGTGAATGGTCTGATGATAATACAATTTCCGCTAATAAAGAACCACAAAGAGGAATTGGCTCTTTAATGAAAAACATTCCATTACAATCACAAGGCGAGCAAAAAACACAACAAACACTTGGCTCTTTAATGAAAAACATTCCTTTGCAATCAACAAGTGAGCAAAAAACACAACAAACACTTGGTTCTTTAGTGAAAAACGTCCCATTACAACCATCAAGTGAGCAACAAACACAACAAACACTTGGCTCTTTAATGAAAAACATTCCATTACAACCACAAGGCGAGCAAAAAACACAACAAACACTTGGCTCTTTAATGAAAAACATTCCATTACAACAACCAAGTGGACAAAAAACACAACAAGTGAATAATGATAATAGAATTAGTACAGGTCAGTATTGTTTTGCATACGTATAAATATAACCATTTGATTATCTGTTCGGAGATAAGCATTGTTACGTTACTCAAAGCATCAGTTGTATACTAATTGATCATTTGATATAATTTAATTAGAAATTCAGTGTGATCCATCAGTTAGCATTTTATACAAAAGTAAGATTTGATCATCTTTTTGTTCTAGCTAATTCTCAGAAACAATCGTCATCCATCTTTGGTATCGGACCCATATCAGATCGAATCAGTGACGATACATCCACAAGTGCGCATTTTTCGGAAAAACCAGTGGTTACGGCAAAAATAAATGCACTAGTTTCTGCCACGCCGCTTATTCCTGCTACAAAAACACAATCCTATTCTTGGTCAGATGATGACGACGATCCAACAGACAAAAAAAAACCTCACACTATTGCCCATGTACAAAATAAACAAAAAAGCGAAACATGGGACGAGAGTGATGAATCATCTTCATCATTGTCTTTAAAAGACAAAAATCAAATCGCTAATAAATCGGATCAATCAAAACTACCAAAAAGTGTTATTTCAAATTTAGTTACTACACAACCATTCAACTTGAATACAACAAGTATGTTCAAAACAGATCAACAAAGTAAACAAGCGTATACGAGTGACGATGATGATCCAGTTGAAGCAGCAATAAGAAATATGGCTACACCAAGACAAACATATAATAATAAAACAAATGAAAATAGCTGGAGCACTAAGGAACAGTTAGCATCGCAAAATAACGGCACAACAATATCAAACTTAATAAATAAAAATATTACAGGTAAAAAACATCGTGTTGGATAATATCTTAATAGTTTCATATGCTTTTATTTATAGGTGGTTATAAAGTTGTACATCCTGAAGATACAACACTAGTTAACGATGATAATTCATGGAGTACAAGTGCGACTATTCCTAAAACATTTCCTAAAACATCGATGGATTTGAAAACGAGTCTTCTCACTCATACTCCACTACCACAAGCAAGTTTACCCGTTAAACAACAAGAAATTGTTTCTCCTAAAACATCAGCTGAATTAAAATATTCTCTCGTTCATCATATGCCTATGCCAACAGCTACAAGTCCAATACTAGACGCGAGTGAAAATTCATGGAGCACATCGACTAGTGGACACGCTAAATCATCAATGGATATAAAAACAAATCTTGTACAACATGTACCGATGCCCGATAAACAACGAGCTAAAAGTGATGCATCATCTACATGGGATGATTCACGACCATTGAGTGCTGATTTAAAACGAGCAACAACAGCACCAGTTCCACAAGAAGATACTATTACAACATTTAAATCATCTAAAAAAGATTTATTTAATCGACAACGAAGAAGTTCACCAAGTTCTGATGATTCCATTGATGAACAGAAATCAACAATAAAACCGAATGATAATAATAAAAGTGGTGGTATATCAAGTTTAATTCAAAGTTCAATGCATCCATTAATTTCGAGTCCAAGAGATGATAATAAAAGTGGGGGGGTATCGAGTTTAATTCAAAATTCAATGCATCCATCTATTTTGAGTTCAAGAGATGATAATAAAAATGGTGGTGTATCGAATTTAAATCAAAATTCAATGCATTCATTTATTTCGAGTCCAAGAGACGATAATAAAAGTGGTGGTATATCAAGTTTAATTCAAAATTCCATGCGTCCAAAAGATGATAATATTAGTCATTTAGTTGGAATTATGGAACATATTATGAAAAGTAAAGAAACAGTGCCAATGGGAAGATTTTTCAATGGACTGGGTACTCAGTCATCTTCAACAACACCCACAAACCAAAACAGGTTGGTATTTCCACAAAAAAAATATATATCTTTCATAAAATCAAGGTTTTATTATCACATGGTTTCTAAGACTAATCGGTGCCCGCAAAATTGTTTTGTCATCGTAAAATGGCGACAATATTAGTATTTTTAAACTGTTTGATAAAAAAAAATTTCCTGGTAATTTTTTTCTAGATCATATAAATGACTTTCTAAATAAATCATACTATTGATTCTAGGACCACATTGTCGAAACTTGTTAACAAAGTAGACCGTAATGCTTCAATATCGTCTATTGATAGTATGGTGATGGATGATACCGTAAGAACAGTAAATTATAAAACAACAACAACAGTTCAAAGTAATATGAGTGATTTACAAAAACGAGATGCACCAGTTATGTCAACAACACCAAAAACAATGATGAAAACACGTCAACGAAAAATGTCAGACAACGATGAACAAGATGATGATGATTATCCGATCGGTGATGGTCACGATTTCAAGTTATTACGTCAACACTCAAATGAAATGACTAATTCATATCAACAACAGTCCAAACATCATATGCATAATCAAAACGGTAGTGGTAGTCGTATGTATGATACCGGTTTACGTAGTTCAGTATCCTCGTCATCATCATCATTTCGTAATAATGAAAATATTGAAAAAATTATTGAATTACGTGAAGATATTCGACAAATTGAGAAAAAACAAGAAGATAGTTTAGAATTAAAACGACAATTAAAAGATATGGAGATAAAAAAAAATAATTTTGAAGCAATGTGGAATAAAACACAACAATTACTAGCTGAAACAGAAACAAAACTGGATCAAGAAAAGCAAGCAAAATTAAAACAAGAATGGAATACACGAAATTTAAATAATGAACTCAAAACGGTTCGTAATAAATTACAAATGATTGAAGATGAAAAAACTACCTTACAACAACGCTTTACTACGTTAAGAGATCAAAAAATTGAACTTGGTAAGTGGCGTGAATGTGTAGATATTTCTCAAAAAGAAATCTATTATGAATTTGGAAACGATCAGTGACGTCGTTCGTAGATTGAAGAAAGATGTTCATTATGTCCATATTTCTGTTTAGAAGACAAATATGATCGTTTAAAAGCTCAACAGCAGCAAAACTCAATGCATATGTCTAATAGTAGCTCGACAAATGGTATTGGTGGTGGTATTCTACGTGAAGAAGATATTGAAAAAATTAAATCTCGTCATCGAGAAGAGATGAAATTATTATCATTGGAAAATGAAGATTTACATCAACGCACAAAACAGTTACAATCTGATTTACAACTACATAAAGAATCTTTGGATGTCACCGTTCGATACAAAATTGATTTGGAAAAAGCGTGTGAAGAAAAAACGTATTTACAACAAGAACTCAATCGTTTCAAATTAGAAAAAGATTTAATTGAACAAGAAAAATTTGAATATAAAACAAAATATGAGAGTCTTCAAGATGAAATACGTCTACTATTGTTTGATCGATCAAAAATTGAGCAAAAATTAACAGCTGAAATACAAGAACAAGGAAAACAACGGACAAAGAATTCAGAAGATATTAGAAAATATAAACAACAGATTGAACAATTAAATATTAAATTAGGTATGCATGAGTAGTGAATATAAAGCTATTAGCCAATAGTGTTTTCATTTTTTCAATGCTTACATGGTTCTAGTAAATTATTACAGTTTATTTTTGAGATAATCATCGTTTTATGTTTACTGTTTTTAAGGTGATAGTGAGGCGAAAATGTTAAGTTTACAAAGTCGAAATGAAACGTTAATGAAATCAAAAGATATGGAATTGAAGAGTGAATTTGACACATTAACTAAACGTTTAAATACAATTGAAAATGATCAAATAATTGCTGAAAAACGATATCAAAATGAAAATATACTTTTAACAGAATTAACTCGTCAACAACAAAAACAATCAAATGATAGTACCGTCAATGTAACAAAACAGCAACATGTAAAAAAAGAACATCATAGACACAGTCAACATTCAAAGTAACGATCTAGAAAGTTTTAATCATAAATCGGTCAATTTATATTCTATGTCTTTTTTTCAGCGAATCAACTTGTTCTCAATGTGATTCATTGCAACGAAATTATGAACTTGAACGTCAACAACGTCTATCTATTGAAAAAGATAATGAACGTTTACGTGAAACAGTTCAAAAACAACAACAACAACAACAACAACAACGTTCAATTCCATCACAAACAGTCACTCAATCAAAAGAAACTGATGTTCATTTGTTAACTGTTGAAAATTCAAAACAAATACGTAGTGAAACAGAACGTGTCAAATATGAATTAGATCGTTTACGTCAAGATTTTAATTTATTAATTGATAATTATGATCCAAAACGTGATACAGAGACGTTACATCAATCAATTGATACATTTCGAAAATTTTATGAACAAGAATTTCGACAACGACAATTAATTATGGAAAAATTAACAAATGATAATACATCAAGACCACGTACATCTCCATCATATCCAGTTATCTCTTATTCTAATGGTGGAGGTGATTATGGAAATCATTATTCACATTCTCCTTCTCATGATCATAGTTGTCCGTCGAGTCGATGTTCATGCATAAACAGTGAATTACTAAAAGAACGTTTAGAAACAGCTATTGACACAAGTCTAGCAGATCAACGAATACATGCGATTAAACAATTTCCATTACGATCAGCAACAACAACAACAACAACGACAAATGGGATAGGAAACGTATCAACATTAATGACAGGTGATTACAGAAGCAGTGGAAATAACAGCACAATTGTAGAATTATTAAGAAAAAAATTCTATATTTGACATTTCCATTTATACTTGGACAAGTGACGAGAATGCTCTTCTATTTACTTTAACTCTATTCATTCCAGATGTAGATCTGATAAATAATTTTCAAATATACACAATGCTTCCGTTTTTTAAGCTATTTTTTTAGTAAAATAGTTGTTTTGATGGGGTCTTAGTCTCTTCTATTGCTAATTTGACACTTTTCTACTTCGAGCACATACAGATCTGACTGATACAAACATCATGTTTAAAAATAAATGATGAATTATTTGTGAACTTCTTTATATTTTGTCTTTCACGTAAAATGTACTTTCTATTTTGAATGAATGAATGAATATTCACTATAACAGTTATTCCTTTCTTTTTTTTTTAAAATAATTGATAGTCTTACTATACTTCATGCATATAAAATTTCTACTTTTATTTTTTTTTCTTATTGTGTGTAATGTGTGATGTGTGTGTGTGTGTGTGTTCAACAAATAATAATAATACGAATAAATTGGTATCAATTTTTATATTTTTAACTCCTTTTTCATATCAAAACTGTGAATACCCATTTTATTTAATTCGACTTAGCAAAATAAATTAGCACAGATATAAATCGAAAGCCTAGAAAGCGAAAGACCATCATCACTCGTACTCTCTATTCTTATACAGATGCCATACTAAAAATATCGTAAATAAAATTACTTTGAAAAGTCGGACAGGTGAGTATACGTTCCAGGTGAAAATCAGTTAATATCTGCTGACTAAATTGAAAAACAAAATGAATTTTTTTTAATTCTGTTTTGTTAGTACTGTATTTATGTATGGCGTTCATTCTATATCGGACTATGATACGAATATTTTCTTCTTTTTTTGTTCAATTTCTGCTATCACCAAGATCAATTAAAAACCATTTGTAGCAATATTCACGCTATAAAATGTTGCACCAATTGAGTTTTCTTTTAATAGATGAGGATCACTGATCTGTTGCAGTCAGTTATCTAAAACTCTCTTGTTTGAATTTGCAAAAATTCTCGTTGCTGATTATTAGACTAGAAAACTTCTTCTCTTTCTAGATAGTATTAAACAAGTATATTCATAAATAATAATTAACCAACAATGGATGGTGCTGGTAGCATCACATATTGGGGTATTAGTCCAAGTATTTCATTACTAGATTGTTTACCATCCAACACTGTGGATGAGACAGATGATATACCCATAAATTTTCTATTACTCGGATGTGGTGATATTCGTCATATTTTTCATACATTATCAAAATTAAATTCATCAACATCTTCTCGTCCACTTTATATATACATTATTGAAAATCAATTAGAATTGTATGCACGTCATTTATTATTATTAAAATTATTATTTGAAAAACCTCATGAAGTAAGTATTCAAGAAAAATGTGAACTATTTCTAGAATTATATGGTAATTTAATGATACGACCCTATACTGAACAATATTTGAAAGAAAAATCAAAAGAATTAATTGAACTTATTACATCTATTTCATCAAAATTTCAACTAAATAAAACATTAACAATTGATTTATCATTATTAAAATATAAAGAACGAGATTTTCTCGAAGGTATATTGAAATATTGGAAAACAAATGAAACATCGACCGATAAACAATTATTTCCAGCTAATCTAGCATGGGATTTGAGATTAAGACAATATTTAAGTAAATATTTTTTTAATAAAAGATATTATTTTTAATAGTTTAAATATGTTTTATTTTTCGTTTATTGTTTAGCTGGACGATATGATACACGTCGAAATGCTTTTGATTGGGATTATAACATGAAATTATTATTACGTGCTGGTGTTCAACATTTAAATATTCATGAATATCAAGAATGGCGTGAAACAGGTGTTGCTTATCATATGCGACAAGATTATACCCAACCAAATCGAACATTATCATCAGTATTTGTATTTAATATTGATGGAACAAAACAAACACGACGAGGATACTGGGGCGATATCTTGACGGGACCTTATATATCCTATGGAGTACAGACAATCGATAAAAATGATGAAATGGAGAAAAAAATTAATGATAAATACGCAAAAACAGCAACGGATATTTCAGTTTACAATGTCACATCATTATTGACAAATTTGACAGAAAAAGATGATAATAACGGTAAGTAAATATGTTATGATCAAATGAAAAGCTATGACTAACTCATTTTTTTCTAGTTAACGAACAACGTCAAGTTAAACTCATCCTGTTACCTTTGAATAGTATCGATGATATATGTGAAAAAGAAAGTTATAAAAACATATTTAAAGTAATTTATTTAGGTTGTAGTTTATCACACTATCTAAAAGAGAAACCGTTAGAAAATATAATGAATATGGACTGTAATCTAATATTAGAACTACCCAATTATCTATTAGATTTAAAACAAGAACAAATTGAACAATTAGAAAAACGATATGATGAAATGGCTAAAAATAAACAATGTCAATGGAATGAAGAGAATCAAAAATATTTACCACAAACATTAAAAATCTATAAAAATAATCAGAGACTATCATAAAACTGTTTTTATTTTAATGTTAAACAATGTACGTCGAAGACAATTCATTTGTAGAAAGTTTGGTAGTTAAAAAATTTATCTAATAATAAAACTTGAATGATTGTACGACTTAATGAAAGTTAATTTATCTGTTTTTCTCTAGCGCATTATAGTTTCATCTTTGACAGGGTAAACTGACGTAAATTCTATTGATCACAATTATAAATATGATCGAGAGTAAATAGATCAAGGTTGGAGGACAAAATGTAACTAATCTAGATTTATTAGCTGCTTTAAATAATATAATATATATTTGTTAGGTATAAAGAGAGGGCAAAATAAATTAAAAAAAAGTAGGTCAGAGAAACAGAAAAAGCATCAGTATAATGCTAAAGCATGCATAAATAAAAAAAATCTTTTTATTCATGATCTTTTCCGACTGTATGACGATCAGCTCGTTGTCTGGGACGTTGCGCTGCGGCAAGTTCTCTATGTAGTTTACTATCACTTGAATGTAAATTATAAACATCATCCGTATAACGTAAACCTTTGTCATATGCTCGTTTTCCACGTACAGCTTGAACGACGGTAACAAGACCCATAAGAACAATAGATAGTATAATACAACGAGCACGAAAGCGATCTAAAAAAAATATCATAATTTAGCAAATGTGATCAAATAAGAGCTTGTAAAATATTCAACTTACCCCATGCTTTTTGATAAGGACGATTTCTGAAAAATAAAAAATATCAAAAAATTACTTTTGGATATAATATTAAGAGTTTTGATGATTGACTCACGGCACTACGTCGGGCACATCTCCCGGTCTGCGATATAATCCACCAATGACTAATACCCATTTCCCCATGGGTGTGACGTGAACGTCTAAAAACAAGATATAGTTGTGAAATAAAGAAAGATTGTTTTTTTCTATTACGAAAGGAAAGAAAATACGGGATGTATTGTAATGGATTGATCAACTGCTAAAGCAGATTAAAAGATTCCTTCACACTATAGGAGAAATTATAAAGAAGTTAAATTTTAGAATCAATTCAATTGTTATCGAATAAATCGTTGTACACTTACGAACATCATCAGATGCGAATTGATCTCCAGTTTTCGGTTCCGACGAGCTTGATTCGTTTAGTTTTTCTGATACTTTGTTATTATTAACACTAGTACTTTGCATTCGTACGATGTGATTTGTATTTTGTACGAAATTTGATCGAAATGGCGCCTGTATCTGTGGCACCAGACGTAAAAAGTTTGCCACGCGAGACATTTTACAATATTATCTAAACAAATAAAATAGAGAATTTAAAAGAAAGCAAGTAATATTTATCGACCCTATAGATCATATTGGGATCAATTTCAAGAACTGCCGAGCTTCTACAGAATTTATGATATTTTTATTAATTTTTAATGGTATTCCTTTAGCAGGTGTTCCACCGTGAATGTATAGTAACATTATAACTGGTGTTCCCCGTAAGGAAAAAGTGTTCCACCTTTTTATAGATAGAATAGAAGTGTTATAGATAGAGTGATAGAAGTATTCGTCTTAGCAAAAACTTGAAAAACACGAACACTTTCTGTGCCTTACCGATGGCACAAGGAAGAAGACACTCAAAGATGGTACAGTCAAGATCTATCCGACAATGCGGTGTACCAATCGACAATGTCAAATAAATCAAACAAATCAATTAAGTGATCGTAAAAATACATTCGTGGCATTTACTGATGCATTGGGCCGACGAAATTCGACTTGATATACGGACAATGTTGAAATTGATATGGCTGTGGTATTTGGGCACGTCTTTCTCAACAATTGTCACGTTGGTAGATGTCACGGAAACGACTGTGGTCGATTGGACCTTATGTAGGTGTATCAAGAGAAGCTGAATGACGCAGTAGCTTATTGTCGTCTACAAACAACATATGGATATGATCATCAAACGGTGAACCACTCGCAAAATTTTATCGATCCACAGCTATAATGTCATCGTACATAAGAAGGCGGAACACTTTTTTCTTATGGGAAACACCAGCTATAATTTCACCATACATTCACGGTGGAACATCTGCTAAAGGAATACCAGAAGACATTGTTCTAAACAAGCAATCAAATACTACGCTGCACTGAAGTTTAAAGAGTGTCGACAGTCGACAATAGGCAATAGTCATGAGTAGTAGTTATAGAGTTTTTTAACTGTTGAAATAACGCATTCGCAGAAACTGTGTTTGTCATTAATTGTACTTTTATCTTTTTGGTTTTCAATCGACAATGCTGCGCTACTTCAGTCATCATATAATTCTTGAAAGATCTCACTGAAAACGAGACTGTATTTAGATAGAGACTGTGTTTTTGATAGAAATTTTTGTCATAGTGAATTTTTTCACTGCGAAATCAATATCATAGCGGAAATTATAATTATAATTTAATCAAAATTCATTTCACAATCAGATTTACAGTTAGAAACGTAGTGAGTTGCAATTTCTCGTGTTAGATTATAGTAGAAAGTCCGCTTGTTTACTGTCACATGTTGTTATTTTTATTAAAAATACTGGTAGATTCGCATAAAGGAGAATGTTATAGCTTAGAGGTCGCGTGAACCGATGATATATTAGTTAAACACAGCTGTTACCCAACACCAATTTCTTGATACGTACGGGCGCCTGTACATGCACGAACACAGGCATATGTCATACATTTTCAGACATGCAGTTTGCAAGCCGTATGCATCATATGACAGATGTATGTGAATCAACAGAAATGCACTAATCTTGCATGCGCGAGATGGATACTGTGAATCATGCATATTATTTGTTTGACCTAACGGTCATTGGCCCAAAAATCTTCCGTTCGTGTATTCTTATATTTCTTTTACAGTCGATGCTGTAGAGGTCGTTCTCATCTTATGATACAGAGGGAAAAAACTAATAATGCAAGAGATATTTTTTGCCTAACTAAGGTATGGACAAAAAGTTCACAGAACTTTTGTAATCGATATCTATCTGTAATCAATATCTCTGCAACCACTCAAGTATTTTTAACAAGTAAAACAGCCATTTTAAAGAGCATTTGAAACTGTTCTTATGGTGCAAAAATGAGGGTGACAGCTCAAGAAATAAGAGAGATACGCATGTGAGAATATTATGAAAACCTATATTAGGTAAAATAACCCATGTTTGCCTATTTTTGAGTAAAATTAAAAAATTCATAACCTAGATATATATATCATAGATCCATCCAAATTATGCCAGAATATCAAAATCTACTCTATTTTACCTGCTCTATATAATGCAGCTCAATAAAAGCTATAAAAACTAACAGAAAATACTTTAGTTTTTGAAAAGTTTTTCTAGAATTCTTCCGAAGTGCAACAATGTTTCTTACCATTCTCAAGTAAAAAACATATAGAGCAGGTAAAATAGAGTAGATTTTGATATTCTGGCGTAATTTGGATGGATCTTGACTAGGTTATAAATTTTTTAATTTTACTAAAAAATAGGCAAACATGGGTAGATTTTACCTAATATAGGTTTTCACTAGGTTTTTATAAGCGTTTTAAAAAACAAATATTGTCACGAGATTCAGCATGACCGATTGCCTATGTTCCCATTTATTTTCAACATTGTCACACCTAAAGAAATATTGATCCTCGAAAACTCCGATGCCACGCCTGCACCGGAAAAACTTAAGAGTTTACTGTACTTCCATTTATAGAGAGGACACTTTGGACTATCTACCTACGAAGAAAAATCGACCTGTTCTTAGAGATCCAAACTAGTTTTCTAAAGATCTGCTAAAAATCCGATCTTTAAATCTTTTTCAAAATCATTTTTGCTTGTGAAAACATGCGTACAGTTCTTGGCTATTGAATAGTTCTTGGATTACTGAAAACCGCAGGTCTATATTTATGTTCTATCAAAAGTTATTCCAAAAGGAACTGACTGCCTTGTATTTTGGAATCGATAATAACTTATTATCGAACGAAAGATATGTCAAAACGTTTAATGTTACTTTTGAATTCAGTTCCTGTTACTTTACTACATGCAAGGCATCGTAGCTCAAGTACAATAGAAGATTTACAATATATAGTATTTTAGAATAATTGCTGGTTTGAGAGTTTTTCCTAATCGTTTCTTTCTGTTTTCCGTTTTATGACGCTGCCTCCTTTGACGAGCATAACTTCTGAGCGAATCTTTATCTTTGGTTATGAACTAGTCTACTACATTTGCTCTTAATATGAGAGATGAACAAACACTGCCTGAGTGGCTTTCTGAAATAATGAATCTTAACCACATATCTGATTCTCCGTCAATTTTCAATTCAACGTTTAGATCTATTGTAGTCATCCATTAGGAGATTCTAGCCACTTGAGGGATTGAGTAGAATTTATCATAGAGATCGGAGTAAGATGCCAGGAGGAAGAGATGATTGACGAGCTGAAAAAGAGAAAACGTAAGATTTGCTAGACAAAGTGAGAATAGTATTTGCTTATTAAGCAATCATTGCACTTTTCAAAGAAAAATTGCGAGGATGTCTCCGCTCACTTTCACACCGCAAAAATACTTTTCTTGACTTAGTGCCCTTAGAAGGAGAAATTCTAGCCGTTTCCGTGATTTATCTAGTAAAATCTTTACAGTGCCCGTTTCATGGTGTCGACGTTTATGCAAGTCGCTGCAACGAGTATCGAAACTAGTGCAGCTAGCTACAGCGCCCGCTAACCCATTTTTAATATTTTAGCAATAGTTGCAACGGATTATGAAGCTAGTGTAGCCAGCTGCAGTGGGCGCTACTAGCTTATTTTTTCATGCTTGGGGTGGAAAGGTAAAATGAAAATTGAACGGCGTTAACGAACTTTAAAATTTTTGATTTTCACTCGTCTTCAACAGTGATCTGGTAGTACGAATTTTCCAACTCTTTTCTATGATTTTTACAGATATTTTTCGCTTCAATATTAATTTTTAAAAAATATGCAATGTAAATGGTACATACGGATTGCAATTCTTTGGAATATAAAGTTATTTAGACATACTCACTCATTTATCATCTTACATATACGATAAGTCGATCTATTGTTTATATACATGTGTACTTATTTAAATGAAATTGTTTTAAATTTGGTAACGATTCAATAAGTTTTTGCCAGCGATTAGCATCTAAATATTCTCGTTTTAAACAGTAATGGCTTGTTAGCGATAAACATTTTAGTTTTAAATGATTTTCAAATAAAGTTTGTGCGTGATCGAATAATACATCAACCATTCTTAGTTTAAGATAACTTAAATTTGGTAATAACGATGCTATATATTGTTCATCATTTTTGTTGTAGTATGGTCTATATTTTTACGTTGTAGTAATGCAACATCCAAATATTCAATTTGAGGTATGTAATTGATTAAGTAAAGTAAATCGTCGAGTGAATAAAGGCAG